CCGTTGGAGCCGCAAACTCTCGAAGCCGAGTTTCGTTGTAAAATTTATTGACCTCGTAGCGAAGATTGCAGCTCGGCACAATAACTCTTCCCCCTCTCCTCTTATTCCAGAACCGCGCTACATCGGCACATATCAATCTCAGGCAAGCACTGCAGTTTTCCGGGGACAAATCCGGCGTGCACTGGACCATCGCAAAGATGTCCCTACGATCACGACCAGTCACAGTATTCCCAGCCGCCACTTTCCGACTACTGTCGGCCGCCCGGGCACTGAGGTCAAACAACAGCCTCGTCAGGTCCCACATGAACCGTTCGGGAGCCGGACTCTCGATGTTATGAGTGTTCCACTGATACAACCTAGCTGACGTGTCGAGTCTCTGCGTTAGGTTCGCGTCCGAGTAATGTAGCGTGCAGAAGTCGGACCAGCCGAAGGCTCGTCTGTCGTTGGGGCACGAAGTCGGGAGAAAGGATATGATGTGGCGGAGGCAGTCGCGGCAGTCGTCCAGCTGGACGTCCCCTCTGCAGAGGACTGCCACGTTGGCGGTCTCGGGGCCGCGCCACCCGACTGAGTCTTGGAAGAAGCCGTCTTGGCCGAGATTGTTGGGTACGGAGTAGAGGAGGGAGTTGAGGTTGTCCGAGTATTCGCTGTCGATTGGGTGGGTGCCGTTGGTAAGGCATTCGTGGGATTGTGCCGCCAGTTGGAGGAGGTTTATGTGAAGAATATTCAAGGCGAGGACGAGGAAGAACAACGTCTTAGACATTTTTTTTTTTTTCTTTTTTGGTTAGACAGAATTTCTTACTTGCTACACAAAAATGGTAATATCATATGATTTAAGGAGTTGAAGTCGTCGTGTATTATTTATTTCCAAATTTTATGAGGGTCAACCAATCGGATCAATCTTTGAAATGTCAAAATAGCGGACTCTAGTTTTGAAATTTGGCCTGAATCCAATTTTCTTTTCTTACAGGCCAATGTTTCACTTTCACGTACATATTCAAGATAGGCAATGCAAAAATGCTTATTTTTTTAGTCTTGTTGGTATGTAAGCAAAATCGAGTCGAAACCAAAAATTATCAAGTCGAACTGTACATTTCGGTGAGGTTCAGTTCGAGTTTTTCTTACATTTCGATGTTGTGCAGTTATAGTTTTTCATAACTTCTGTTTTCGATTTTGTTCTGTTTGACCCGATTTTCCACCGAACTGCACCAAATTGAATAAAATGTATAGAAAAACTGATATAAAATCAAAAACCGAGTCGAACTGCGCATTTCGGTGCGACACAGTTCGATTATCTTAGTGTAAAAAAAATTAAGTTCGATTTTGATTCTTTTTTTTTTAAGTTGCGGTGCGGTTCAATTGTTTTCTTTTTTTAAGTTCGATTTTTTGTGGTTCGGTAAGATTTTTCACCGAACCGCACTGTTGTTCACGCCTTCTTATTGGTTTAAACGTTATAGCAATTTTAGTCTCAATATTCTAATTTTTCATATTTTGGTTATTTGATTTAATATTTTGCTGCAATTTCAGTCCAATTTGCAACAAAATTTTGCAGGACTCAAATTGCTAATCGAAAATTTGGAAATTTGAGAAGTTTTTTTTAATTTTAGTCATCAAATGATTGAAATTGCAACAATATTAAATAATATAGAACCAAAAAACAAAATATTGGAACATTGAGACTAAAATTGCTATGGCCGTTAACCAACGTGAGCAAAAATGCAAGTTGGCCTACGAAATATTTAGATTGAGATTGAGCTATATTGCATGGTTTGGTTGACCATAAGAAATATATATAGTTTAGAGGTTTGACAAGGTAATTAAGACTAGCATATATATCTCCGTCCACAATAACCACAAAAACACGCCGGGACAATTAATAATTAATAATATTTTTGGGTGATCGTGGAACGTGAACTTTGGGTTTATTTTGTTAGTCTTTAGACAAGGACGTACTGGTAGGAAAGTTAATGGCAATCACGCAGAAACTTAATAAGGTAAATGTAACATATTACGTGCTAGGAGAGACGGCCGCTGTGACCAGCCTTCTTTCCGACCGTTTTGTGTAACGACAAACGCAATCGACAAAAATACATCTACAGTAAGTAGCATATACTACTACAAACGAAAAATAAGCTAACATAAATAAATACAAAAAATAAATGACGAGAAAGAAATGGCCACACTAAAATTGATAAAAGAAATCGACCAATATTACCTACGTACGTCACGCCGACTTCAATAATCTCACCAGCAAAATACAACTATCATTAAACAACTCACCAATTATAATTTCCTTCATTTTCAAACAAATCAAATTTTTAAAAAATAAAATAAAAAATTAAAAATGCTTCCAACGTTTTTGTGCCTCCTCATAATCCTCCACACAAACTTGCTATTCGTCTCTGGCCAAGCCCGGTTAAACCAAACGACCAATTCACCTGCTACAACAACGGCAACTACACTCGCAACAGCACCTACGCCGCCAATCTCGACGCCGTCCTTTCCC